AAACCTAGATCATCTCGTCCGGAAAACTCGTTTGGAAAAATAAACTCACGAAAATGAGTTCGTGAGAGTTGAAAGGATTAGGCTCCTCTTGGCTCGGTTAGTCTTCTAGATAAATCGGGTTAATGAGTACGGGAAACCGGCCTAGGAGACTCGAGGACAAACCCCGAGGTTAAACCTAGGTAATAATCGTCCTAACGGCTTTCATTTGGAAAAAATAGCTCATTAAATAAAAAATATATAAAAAAAAGAAAAGAAAAAGAATGGGAGCTGGCTTATTGGTTCATTGTTATTATGTTACATGTTTAGAGGACCATTTATAGTTTTTGCACGTATATGTAGAATAAGGGAGTTTGAATCGAGTAATCATGTGTAGAATAACTTGGGACGGATTTTTGTTTTGTATGGATTCATTATGTGGGGACCATGTTCTCGGATTGGATTTTGATTTTAGGAATACCGTATGATAATGAGAGTTTCATTTCGCATGTTCGTTAATTTTGGACTTCTCGATTTTTCTTTTCGAGCTACTTGTTATTTTGTTTGCTTGAGGACAAGCAAATAGTTAAGTGTGGGGGAGTTGTTTGTTATGTTTTTGTGCTTATTTTCTTGTATTTTATGTGATTAGTCGAGTCATTTTTAGGTTCGGATTTGTGTCAATCGGTCCATTTTGTCGTGTTTTATGTGTTTTTGTTTTCGTTATGTGTATTTGTATTTTTTTCCGCATTTTTGCGTCTCTTTTGGTGTATTCTTTAGGTCCAATTGCACGATTGGAAAGACGAGCTATTTTTCGAGACATATCCTAGCCATCCGAGTAATCTTCGAGACACGAGCCTAGCCCGAGGACAACTAACTCCCGTGGCACCTCAACACTCGCTGCGAAACAGTTTTGGCGCCACGCGAGACGGCACCCACGAGAACTCCACTGACGCCCCATACTCGCCCGCGAGAACACTTTGGCGGGCTTCCAACCCACCTCTACAAGCCTCACACTCGCAGGCGAACTGACGTTGGCGATCGGCGAAGCGCAAGCACTCCAACACCCAATACCACACTCGCTAGCGAACCACTTCTCGCGGCCAGCGAAACAGCGAGATGCGCCTCACAACATCAACACTCGCCAGCGAACTAGCATTGGCGAGCCGCGAAACGCGCACCTGCAGCACCCAAGGCCCAACTCGCTAGCGAACCAGCTTTCGCGACCCGCGAAACACCCATTTCAGCACTATTCCATGCCCAAACTCGCTGCGAACTCTGTTTCGAGACCCGCAAACTTTAGAATTTCATTAAATGTGTGTGTTTTTAGTGTGTGTTTATGGTGTAGCTATAAATAGACATTGTGCTTTGTATTTTGGACACAACTCTCATTTCCCAACTTTTAAGTTGGGAAAATCCTCTCTATTTCTCTTTTTTCCTTTTTATGCTTGGGTTAGGAGCTCTATTACTCATATTTTTCGGCAAGTTTCCGGCGACATCATTTTATTTCAAGTTTCGAACTTTTCCATCCGGTGTTCTTCACGCATGCATTAGGAGAGTGGGTAATTAGCTTTAATCCTCATTACTTCGAATTTGCCCTCTTTTGCTTATGATGTGTTTCAAGGTAAATGTGGTTTTGCTTGTTGATCGGAGGAATGTTCGATTCTTGTAGCTCGTCGACGTGTGTTAGGGATTTGTTTGTGCTTATCTTGTTTAAAGATTGCGACTTTGTTTAAAAGTGTAGTCATTTAGTAGAAAGCTCGATTTAATGACCTAGGATCACTTGGCAATGTTGATGTCCCTCGGTTCTTTTTGTGTTTATTCGAGTGATAGAGACCCCGGTTGACCTAAAGCTCTCATCTTTGTTTTTAAGTTTTCACTTTATTTCGATTTCCAATTGCGAGTAGTGTTTAATTCAAACTCTCAAATTGCGAGTAGAATGTTTAGGACCTTTTCGGTTGTGTGATTTTGACGACTAGTTAGTGAACGAAGCTCCGAAGAATCTTCCTTTGAGAACGACCCGAGTCGGGTAACTCGGTTACCACATGCCCAAAAATACTACAAACAGTTTGCAATATCCTCTGATTTTTTAACGGATGTCCACTAGAATTTTCAATAATTCTTCGCATCATTATCGAGCCAGGATGACCAAGTCTATCATGCCAAAGTTTAAACATTTCATTCGCCTGTGACTTTGTTGTAGCATAAGTCTCAATAATATAAATGCGGGTGTAATATAAGCCCGATGATAAAGCTGACAATTTCTCCAAAACACATTTATTTCCCGCAACATTTGAGGTAATGCAAAGATATTCAACTCCCCCTTCATTCATTGTTTCAACATGGTATCCGTTCATTCAGATATCTTTAAAACTCAACAAGTTTCTTGTTATGCATCATTCAATGTAAACTTTGTACCTCCCATCATAAAAAATATGGCGTTTCCAGAACCCTCAATTATCTTTGCATTTCCAGATATTGTGTTTACTTTTGCTTTATTTAATTTCAAGTTGACAAAATATTTTCTGTCCTTGAGTATAGTATGAGTTGTGGCACAATCTGCAAGACATATATCTCCACTTTGAATTCGAGACCGATCCATGATCTAAAAGAAAACAACATTATTATTGATCAAATTTGAAATACAGATATAACTAGTACAAATACGCAAATACAACAAAAAACTTAGAAAGCAATAAAAGAAACAGGATAGTCAGTTGTTCTCTTGGTCATTTCCAGCTCTTTCTTCAAATACCGCATCAACAAAATCCAGGTTCAACATGTCATCGATGTCATAGTCATCATCTACACGTGTTGTATTATTTTCAGAGGATTCCCCAACTATAAAATTAGTTTCTACATTTTTATCTTTTGATTTCTGGGAATCATTATATTTATCAACAAAGTGTTTCGGAGCACGACAGTTTCGTGCCCAATGTCCCGTCTTTCCACATCGATAACATGCATTTTCATTATTATTCTCCGTCACATTATTTTGTTCAAATTTTGGCTGGAAATTTCTCCCCCTTTCAAAATTTTGGACATAGCCACGGCCTCGTCCACGATAATTCCCTCGGCACGAGTTGTACCCTCTGTGAAATTTGAAGCCTTGGTCAAATCGGCGATCTGGGCCATATCCACGGCCACGGCCACGTCCACGTCCACGACCCCGGCCACGTCCCGAGGTATTTCCACACACATATGTCTGGCTGTTTTCAGTTCCGGTTCCCTGTTTTGATATTACAGCATTTATTTCAGGGACCGCAGTATACCCTGTGGGTCTAGATTCATGATTTTTCATCAACAACTCGTTATTTTGTTCAGCCAACAGCAAACAAGAAATCAACTCAGAATATTTTACAAAGCCTTTTGCTTTGTATTGTTGCTGCAGTAGTACATTTGAAGCGTGGAACGTGGACAACGTTTTTTCTAGCATATCGTAATCAGTTATGTTTTCTCCGCATAATTTTAACACCGAACAAATGCGGAACATGGCCGAATTGTACTCGTTAACAGTTTTGAAATCTTGGAAGCGTAAATGCATCGATTCGTAACGAGCCCGGGTGAGAATCACCGTTTTCTGGTGATCATACCTTTCTTTCAAGGCTTTCCATAGATCCGCAGGATCTTTAACAGTTAAATATTCATTTTTCAAAGCCTCATTCAAATGATGCCTCAGAAATATCATTGCTTTAGCTTTATCCTGTATTGATGAATCATTTGGGGATATTATTGTTTTTTCCAATCCCCTTGCCGCCAAATGAATTTCGGCATCCAATGTCCATGAGATATAATTTTTCCCAGAGATATCGAGAGCTTCGAATTCGAGTTTGACCAGATTTGCCATGATAACTATAAAATAAAACATCAATGCTTAGATTCGAAAAATTACATATACAATCATTATTTCTTCAAGACGTACAAAAGAACAAATACTAAACACATTATACAAAGGCCTAATACATAAAATTTAAATCCAACAGTACGATACATCATCGTGAAAATTAGCAAAACATATATAATAAACAAGATAATGGTAATTATAAGTAATGGATCAAACATTTTTTTTTTCTTATAAAGAAAATATATTTTTGAGTGTTTGGATTATGAAAATGAATTGTAGTGTTATATATAGATATTGGTAAATAACCGTTACAAAAATGACCGTTAACTAGCCGTTGGAAACAAATTTAATGATATAATATTTGCTAATTAATCATTTATGATTATAAAATTCTAATTAATCATGTATATTACCTTAAAAATTTAACGAGTCATTACATAAACAATTAAATAAATAGCAAATCAAATAAAAATGTTACTCCACACTGCTCGATAAATCTTTCGGTGGGTACAAGAATAATCAGTTATAAATTTCACGTCACATTACTGTGTAAGCCATTTTTGTGGGTGTTAAGTATAAAAAATAATTTATAAGCAAATTCAATAATATCATATCACCACATATTATTGACTATGGCATAGCCTAATTTGCCAATAATAATGGTAACGTGTAGATAATATCATATTTAGTATACATATCTTGACTGTGACAGAGCCTAACTTGTCAAGAATAATGGTAATATATATATATATATATATTTTTGACTGTGGCAGAGCCTAACTTGTCAAAAATAATATTAATATGTATATATATCCTTGACTGTGGCAGGGCCTAACTTGTCAAGAATAATAGTAATATGTATATTAGTGAAATATAATACATATACATATATATATATATATATATATATTCCTACCTTTCTTGACCGGGCAAAGCGCTCGTGCTGATAACGTGTTATAAAATGCGAGTAATATAAAGAACACAATGTATAAAAACCGGATATAAACTATAACAACTTTCTTCCTTTCTTTCTTCACTTTTCGTGTGTAAAATCACATTACATGTATTGCCTTTTATAGGCAAACTTAAGGCACACAATCCAATGCATATTAAATAGAATAATGTAGATAAGGTTTACTAGTGGTAAATTCCACTTTTACATAACAAGGATAATATTTTAAGCATGAAAATGTTTTTCCATAACATACATGTCGCATTGCATTCCCCTCTGCCCTAACTATACATAAAAAGCTCTCGCTCCCACCTAGCCGCCTCCACCACAGCCAACTTTTCTGCCTCTGCCGCCGCGGCCCAGCCACCTCACTAGTCGCCGCTGCATCCCTTCTGAATCAGCATATAGGTACAAATTTCTCTTTTCTTACTTCGATTGTTCTTTAGAAGCTTGAATTCCCATTCTTCTTTTACATTTGAGCTTCCAAGTATCTATCCTATGTGTGTCCGACGAACATAGAACAGTTCGAAAATCTTGGAGTTTCTTCTTTCAATACACTTTTCGATTGAAGTATCTGTCATGGTTACTGTCTCAAATATTTTGTCAGCTGACCTGAATCGTTTTTTTTTTCAGCTGCAATTTCCATGGAGTGTGGTTTGGGCATGGCGACCACGCATTTCAGGCATTTTGGGGTGTGCCTTAAACCAAATTCACCAAAAGTCCGGCACTTTACTGTCAATTGCCATTCTGTTTCTCTCTCGGCCTCTGAGAATTCACCGACAGGTATATTTGTGTTTGAATTATCCCAAAAATTAAGGTTTTAGTGTGGGCATCATATCTAAAATAATAAAGGTTTTGTCCTTTTGCTGTGTCAAATTGATGTGCAAAAAATGCGGCTTTTCCAGGATTGTTGGAAAGGCCATGGAAGGTGGCGGATGCAAGACTTGTGCTTGAGGATGGTTCTGTTTGGCGGGCCAAGTCATTTGGTGCCTCTGGGACCCAAGTTGGCGAAGTGGTTTTTAATACATCATTAACGGGGTAAAGTCTCCGATTTACCATCGCCTATGTGTTTACCTTCTCACTATTCTATTTTAAATGATTATTATTGTTTCTTGTCATCCTAGTTTCCTTATTCATAGTATAGGTAATCCCTGATTTTGCTTGTGCATTTCGTCGTGCAGTGGCGTAATCTATTGATATTGCTAAGGTTCCATATGTTTTTAATAGGCTGCATCACTGATTTTTAGGCATTGACCGTTAGATTGATCAGAATTAACTTGGTATAACTTTACTTAGGCTGACCCTGGCAATAATGTTTTGTGCATTTTCGGGGATCGGTTGTAATGGAACGTAATTTCAGAAGAAAAAGAAAGATAACTCAAAAAAAGAAAAGGGGAAGAAATTCTTCCACGAAATTATTTCTATCGACAGTTTGTGAAATAAATCTAAAATGTCAAATCATTTAGCATTTCGATCAGTTTCATGTCCCAGCTTCTTCTCGTTGGCCTTTGGTTGCATTTTGAGAAAAAAAAATATGAAACATAATACTTGTTATTTCTAACAAGAACTGAGTAAGTATTTATTAGGTATTTTGGTTAATATTCTTTGGTCTTTGCTTGGCGAATTATGAACGCGAAAAACTGTACGGAAAGCTTTGTTATTAAGGAATATTGCAGTTTGTTTTAGCATGAAGTTGTATAATTTTATGTGTTTGTAACTGTGTGATTTTGATTCATATTTCCATTCTCTTTCGTTGCAGGTATCAAGAGATCCTTACTGATCCTAGTTATGCTGGCCAGTTTGTTCTGATGACTAACCCACATATTGGCAACACTGGTGTTAATTTTGGTAGGTGTATCCCTTGTTTTGTTATTTTGACAAACTTCAGTTTTGGAATTTTGGAAAAGGGACCTCAGCTTCTTGTGCGCTTCTTCACAGATGATGAAGAATCAAACCAGTGCTTTCTAGCAGGGCTCGTTATCCGAAGTCTGAGTATTAGGTTATAGCCTTTTTTCTAGGCCAACTTATGTCACTTTAAGCTTTTCTGATCACACATGTTTCTTATTAATACTGCAATGTATTTTTTATCTTGTACATTTACTGATTAATGTATTACAGCACCTCCAACTGGAGATGTACTGAAAAACTTGGAGATTATTTGGCGTCAAGGAACATTATGGGAATATGTAAGTTGTGGTTTCTGCATTTCCAGCTTCCTTTCCGTTTTTCTTTCTTTCTTGTCCATATTAGCCATCATGTTGCGTGTTTAGTTTTGTCTAATTTATTTATATATTGCAGATGATGTAGACACTCGTGCTATTACCCGTCGATTGAGACAAGACGGTAGCCTTATTGGTGTGTTGAGCACAGAGGACTCTAGAACGGATGAAGAACTCCTGAAAATGTCCCAAACTTGGGATATAGTTGGTGAACAAACAAACAAACAAACACACACAAAAAAAAGAACCATCCCCTTCAAGTTGATGTTAAAAATGATAAAATCTATCAGTGAGACAAGCGACATTGAATCACCCATCTGTTTATTTTGCAGGCGTGGACTTGATAAGTGGTGTCTCTTGTAAGGCTCCTTACGAATGGGTTGATGCAACAAAGTCAGACTGGGATTTCAACTTCAACAAAGGAAAAGATGAGACATTTAAGGTTAGTATTACATAGATGCATGTGGTTCTTAAAACTTCTTGTAAAAATTTAATTCATTTACCATCTACCTCTTGCTGTTTTTATTTCATATAACTTTAGAAACAATTACATAAAAACCTAACTGTTTATTTGTTTTTGTCTTTTTTTTTTTATTCTATTTAAATTAGAAAAAGCTTTTGATTTGGTAATGTAAAATGCACTTTACCAAGTACAATCTTTATTAGCAAAACCATTTAAACACCCTGTATTGTAATTAACCCAAATCTCCCGGGTAGATTTTGAAAGTCTCTTTTCTTTATCCCTTTTTCACTCCCTTCAATTTAGGTTGTCGCATATGATTTCGGTATCAAGCACAATATACTCCGCCGCTTGGCATCTTATGGTTGCAAAATCACTGTGGTCCCCTCAACTTGGCCAGCGTCCGAGACTCTCAAAATGAAACCAGATGGTGTTCTTTTCAGCAATGGTCCAGGTGATCCTTCGGCTGTCCCTTATGCCGTTGAGACAGTCAAGGAATTAATGGGGAAGGTTCCTGTTTTCGGTATCTGCATGGGCCACCAATTGCTCGGTCAAGCTCTCGGTGGTAAAACCTTCAAGATGAAATTTGGTCACCATGGAGGGAACCATCCCGTTCGTAATATCCGAAATGGACGTGTCGAGATCAGTGCTCAGGTAGGTGACTCATTAAACGAATACTCTGTTCTAAAAAAGCGTGCTGGACCAAGAAAATTTCACTTCAAGCTGCTTGCCTTTTTTTTTTTTGTTCTCTTCTTGTGTGTGTCTCCTTAAACTTGTAGAACCTTGTTTTCTGGGTGTGAAAAAGATCCTTGAGGTTTGACTATACGCCAAAAAAAAAAAAAAAAAAAAGAAGCTAACATTCAAATTACAGAAGCTGCCGCGAGGTTTTGACTCCTTAGCAGTTTATAAATCTGAAAGGGGTTATCTAGTTTCTAGCTCTATTTTTTGTTAAAATAAAATTTGAAGGGTGTCTTAATATTATACATATAGCTGGGTTCTAAACCAACCTCGAGGGTGCTTTTTGTTAATGGAAGAAAAAATGAATTATGAGTATTTTAATTTGGTTGTTTGAGAATTTTGGAACCCTGATGTAGCTTTTCAGTTTTTTCCATTCCACTTTCTTCTTTCCAAGATGATCTCATACTATATAGTCTGCTTTTGTTTTTGTTTTTTTTTTTAATTTTTCTTTAATAAAAAAAAAGATATATTTTGCATTTGTCCCATGCAGAACCACAACTATGCTGTTGACCCTGATTCTCTTCCAGAAGGTGTGGAGGTAACTCATGTCAATCTCAACGATGGAAGCTGTGCGGGGCTTGCTTTCACTCAGCAGAAGCTCATGTCACTTCAATACCATCCCGAGGCTTCTCCTGGGCCCCACGACTCGGATCTTGGTATTGGTTTTATTTATTTTTCTAATCTTTTTCCTGAACCAACTCTAAACAAACACTTAGGCTATGGCGATACGCAGCTGGCTGATCTGAACACTTTTACTAGTATCAGAATAGTTAAGATGCAGCCTTCAACCAACAAAAGAAACAAGAAAAAAGAAAGAAAATGACAGACTGTATTGTTAAATTGTGAAGTACATTTTCTTGTTCAACACAAAAAGACTCATTTGCCCAGGAGGTTTAACATAATTACGAAAAATTCAGTTAATCTTTCATCACTCCAGATTACCTCAAATTCTGGAATTTGTAGACTTGCTTATATCTGGCTCTAATTTACGCTTATTTGCCTCAGTATTTGGTGAATTCGTACAACTTATGAGACAAGAAAAGCAGCAGAAAGTATAGGAAATTGGGGCACACTATGTTATCTATGTGGTCCAGTAACTTAGACCAGTGCTTCAGGAAAGTGGTCAACCCAATTCTCGAAAATAAACAAGGAAAATTGCAAGTTGGAGACATGTATCATCTCTTATTGCATTTTTCTGGTATTTTTTATCAGTTTAGAGAGGGATAGAGTTGGAAGAGATTTTTTTTGTTGGTTTGTAGTGTGTTACATAGATTGATATGCGTGCCATTGTATGTGTATTACTGTATGAGCAACACAACAATTTAGCTTTATTTTTTAATCTAGTTTGTTATCAAGCTTCTTTGCGTATTTAGGTGATTTTTGCTTTAAATTATTGATGATAGAGAGGTGAGTGGTCCTGGTAGGTCCAAATCCGTTTCTCTATTAAGGATGATTAGGTGCATTTCAACATTATGCAGTCATTGTGTTCGGGTTTGGTTGTCGGTTTTTTAACTGTTGAATGAATCATTAAACACTCCTGTGGATATTTGTGTGTGTCGATTCAACACAGGTGATTGCATTGTAGGGTCGAACCTTGGGATTATTGCTCTATTTGAATCAAAGTCGAACGTAAGGTGGATGTTTATGTTTTCAGCATTGATGTTATTATTGTTGTTAAAATTATTATTATTCTTAAGTAGTTCATTTATTAAAAGATGTTATAGGATTCTATTTTTCGATTGATACTGGAATTAAGCATTGTTATAAAACATGCATCTTTGTTTTGAAAAATCCGGCTTAAGCACCAGGTGGTACCTAGGCGCTACGACTTTTGCTTAGACGTTCATTCTAGAGGCTCGGACAATTAGGCAGCATCTTGGTTTGTCAAGACGGTTGTGAAGTTGCTCATGCCTAATCTGGCTAGGTCACTTAAGTGGTCTAGGTAACGCCTAGATGCGTGTTTTTTTTTTCTTTCTTTTTTTTTTAAATATTAAAAATAGTTTTAATTTTTATTCATGAAATTTAACATGATTATATAATAAATATTTATAATCATATTAAAACTAATACAATGTATTTAGTTTCTGCATAATTTTGTAGTTGACCATGTGATGGAGACTAGGTTGCATTCACTTATTTGGATAAGCATGATCGTTAGACATCATTAGTATAATTATTTTTTATTTATATTTTATTGATATTTGAACATTTGCCTTTCATTTAGTAAGTTTATGTTTAGCAGGACATATTTCATTGTTTTTAGTGTTGCCTTTGATTGAAAAAAAAAAAAAACAAAAACAAAAGTTCTCTCTTAATCCTCGTCTTTATGCTCTTGCTACGTCAATGGATACTAAAGTAGACTAGTACGATTCCTAGTGGCCCAAACAAAACGATAATGCGGAACGACAGGCGTGATGCTTAGATTGCGACATGCGGGCATCAATTTGAGGCATTAGCGGTGGCGGAGGAGGAGATTCGATTGGAGCTGGCCACGACAAGCGCGACAATTGCGGGCCAGGTGTTGTGCGTGGTTGCCGTGGGGCAGGGCACGGTGGACGCGGTTGTGGTCTTCGTGGGGCGCCCTGCTCTTGATGGAGAGCCTCGGTTGTACTTTAGGGACAAGATCTAGATGACACCATCTCCATGGTGAATCCATTCGCAACGTTGCTGGGCGAGACGATGGGCGAATTGCCGGCGACCGATAATGGCAGGTGGTGTTTTGGATCACACATTCCTGATTTTTTTTTTGGGTGGGGAGAGGGGAGAACTTGAAGTCGTCGATTTATTGGATACCGCGGTCGAAAATATTCTCGATTTTAAGGAAATGGCGGATGTTCGTAGAGTGGCGCTGGTCGCGACACGACTTTGGGCTCGAGTTGCCGCTTGGTGGCACCAATTCAAGCAGGCACGACAACGGCAGGATAAGCCAAAAGTTGCAACTTGAACAAACTTTCGTGAACACGTGGAGCATGAGTTTTTACTATGTAATTATGTTCATACGCTCTACCAGCGTTCGCAAAATCTACGTCAAGGTGCACATACGATTAGTGAGTACACTAAGGAATTTTAACAACTCTTCACGCGCGTGGATATTCGTGAGACAATTGGCCAATTGGTTTATCAGTATAGTGGGAGTTTGGTTGCCCTTACAAGAGCAAATATTTGATTTTATTTTTAATTTTAAATTTGGATTAATAAATAAATTTAAGTTTTATTTAATAAAAAAGTGTTAATATTTATATATATATATATATGATATTGATCCCAAATCAAATATCGTTAAAAGATAACTAATTCGATACATTCCATATGAAAAAAACAAATAACAAATAAATAAGCTATTCAACTTTATAAAATATTAAAAAATATATTATAATAATTAATAAGAGATGAAAAAGGAAAAATAATAAATGTATATGAAATAGTTTATGGTAATTTGTAAACATTGTTGTCATAAGAGCATCTCCAATTCTTAATGTTGTAGTAGTAAATTACACTCCACATCAACACATTTGTTAATATCATAATTTTCCATCTTCCAATGTGATCACAAATGTTATGATGTGGACATAATTAATGTCTACGATGTAGATAATAATGTGGTTTATCCACATTCTACTCCACACTCTAGTTAGTCAATGAAAAGAAAAGACAGAATTATTATTGTCATTTTCAAACTATTTAATTATTTATTTAATTTTATTAATTAATATTAAAATTTTATTATTTGGCAAGTAGATAATATTGTAATTAGACAACATTGTGTATTGAAGACGATTTTTTATTTAATAGTTGTGAACTCAACATTTGTCCTACATAGTACACAAGCTATTTAATTTTTTAACATTTGTAAAAAAAAATTCTAGAACAACATTAGAGCATTGAAGATGCTCTATCAAACTAGAAGTTATATCCATAGAAAACATGAAATTGTGCCACACAAAGTTCAACATACCCGTTAATTATACCAACATATCGGTGAATTATATATAGGAGTTAGAAAAGACATTATTGTGTGTATATGAGGAATAATACTTGATAGTCGCCTAATTACTATTGTAATTTTAATATCACCATTGACGATTGAAAGGCATAATGGGAAATACTACGGTCTCGTTACTGAACCATTCCATCGAGGTTTGTAACCATTAGATCAACTATTCCCGATGGTTACATGATGATCTAACGATTACAAATTCCAATGAAATGATTACGTAACGAGATCATAATATCTTCCTAAAGTATATCATTCAAAAAAAATATTTAGCATCGATAGTATCAAGAATAAAAAAATGTGGCACAAATACTCAACAAGCAATCCCGCAAATTTTCCAACTCTATTTAATTTTAGCACCATCTTTTTCAACAATTATTCCTTAAAGAGAGAGGAAACCAATCGAATTAGAAAGTTCAAAAAAGAAGAAACAAGTGCCAACAAATTATTAAGAAACCGAAAATGATGGCTGACGTGGACGCGTGCTGATGTGAGCCTCATCATCCAACGGCCCAAATTCGCTCCCATCATCTTTTAATTCTCCACTCTCATTTTTTCCACACACACAAAGGCACACACTCGAGTGTGAGAAATTAATTTTGCTTCAAAAAAAA